AGATCAAATGGTATATATCTCCCATATTTTATCTTGAAAAACTTATTGCATGAAACTTAGATTAAATGTATAAATTTTTTGAGAAATGTCACTTTTGAGATGCTACTTTTCAAGAATGTCATCATTTTGATTTTTTTTTTTTAAAAGTGACACTAATCTTCTATATATTTATTGAGTACACATTTAGTGAAAAAATGTGTTATTCAATGAGGTCTTTTTAAGTGACTATATTTTAGCCCAATTACCCACCAAATTTATATCATATATACAATATATAATCATTAAACGAATATGGAAACAACGAGTAGGTGGTAGTTAATATGAAAGATTTTATTTAAAAAACATAGAGTATATGTGAGAATATCTTATTTTCTTTTTACTAATATTAGATTTTTTGATCCGCGTCAAATGCGGGATTAGAATATTCAAAAACGAAAAATCATGATTTTTTTTATTACACGGAAGAAAATAAAAATAAAAATAAAAAGATCAAATGGTGTATATCTTTCTATTATTTTGAGAAATGTCACTTTTCAAAAAATTCAANCATTCTTAAATTTNTTCAAAAGTGCCACTAATNNTCTATATATTAATTGAGTAGAATTTAGTGAAAAAAATGTGTTATTCAATAAGATTTTTAAGGAACATGTCATTTAAATTAACCAATGAAAACATTTCTTTTAAAACTATATGCCATGGTTGAAATCTCTATATGTTTTTATTAATTTTATAACATAAATCCATTAATACATGTTTTACAGATTTAAGTTTAACTAAATGTAATATTTACACTTACCATATCCTCTTTTTTTTTTTAAATGATATAATAGTAAAGCTTTTCATTATTTTATTTGTAACAATATTATTTATTATTTTATTTCTACACTTACATCTATTTTTACATTTTATTATTGAATATATTTTTCGTTTGTTATATCCGACAAATTCATATAAACCTATTTGATTTATGCATGCTGTATAATTTACACAAATAATAAAAATCAATTTTACACTTCAAATAAATTGTAATAAATAACATTTGCATTAATTCTAATATTTTTATGCAAAGTTGATCAAAACATGACATCAAAATATGTTTGATCAAAATTGAATTTTATGACATTTATGCACAATATATATCATTTTGTACGTTTATATTTAATAAATATATTTTGNTCTATGTTTATGACATCAAAATATATATATATCATTAGAATACACGTCTATATATTAAAATCAATTAGAAAACATATTTAAGTATTTAATCCCACGCTTGGCGTGGGTCAAATTCTAGTAAACGACTTATATTCAAAAGTTCCATATTAATGAATTTTTCAACTCATTTGATTATGAACCTTATGAGACATGTGCCTTTGTTACATGTACGTCTTATGGATTTTGGTTTTAGTGGGAGATTTGTTTTGTGAATTGGATCTTATGCAGACATATGTATTCGAACCAATGAGTTTAAGTGCCAAGTAAAACTACTAATATTTCATTACATTTATTGATGAATTCACAAATTAAATATGATTTTTTTCATATGATGAAACATAATTGAATCCTTTGAAAGGTTTAAAAACTTCCCTAATAAAGTAGATAACAAAGTGTTTGTTATTTGGAACAGTAGTTTTATGAGAATGTGAAGATAATTTATGAGAAACTAGTGGGAGTAAAAGTTCACGGCTTCTAATAAATATCTTAAGTAATCTAAATATGAAAGTCGTTTTAGATTATTGAAAGATATGATCTTGGTTTTAGTGGGAGGTTAATCGATGTTCATGTAAGGATTGACTGCTCTGCCCCTTCAACTTTACTCATTCCGACTGATCCGTTCAGACTATGGACCTCTTCATTTTTTCCTTTCGAAAAGTACATCTCTTTAGAATTTCCCCTAAACTATTTTAATTTTTCGAAATTCCCAAAATCTGTGCGATTTTTTCAATAAAACCATGGCGATACTCGAACCCTGTCAAAACCAGAAAACTGAGAACTTGATTATCAAGGAGTTAATACTAATTGATAATACTAGCTAGGTTAATTAATACTAAGTGATAATATTGGACAGTACATAATCTATAACTATACAAATTTGGATCAACGAGGTTTAGCTCCATTTTTCAGGGACTACCCAGGTTTTCTACATTGAAAATCGCGTAGATGTGAAATATGCGTTGGAGAAGCGTGCATTTCTTCATACGTGAGCTTCACGTAAAGGTAGGTCATAGGTAGTCAAACAAAGAGAATCTATTCATGGGAACTTGTTGAATTAGTTTGAACACAAATGTTTAAACTAAAGGTTTAATCTATTCATGTACAAACATAAAGCATCTTGTTTAGTTTTCCCATGCTTTCTGAATCGTTTCACACGTTTTCTTAATTAAGATCTAATCTGTCTAATCTAGTCAAACAAAGAGAATCGTTTATCCCGCTTGAGACTTTTTTGCACTTGAATTAAACAGTGAAAATGCTTTTCAAACTATCCATTTGTACCAATCAATTACTCGTCTTTCTTTTGTGTAACGGGTCGAGTAATATCGAATAAGAGCAGGATAAAAATACTTAAGTTTC